TCTCGGTAGCTGCTCGGAGCAGACAGGAACAATAAAGTTTGGGCTTTAGGTGGCTTCGTTTTTGCGTCAAACTAGTTTTATATGCTATATCATAAAACTTTCAGTCCAATCAGCAACTACATTTAAATACTGCAAATTGTGGCAGCAAAACAATAATTCTGCTGATTAGCCCCTTTCCATTTCTTGTAAGTGAACTGTTTATGCTGTTGAGTACCTTTTGAAAAAAGAAAAAGCCAAAACAGCCTTGATTAGTCAAGGAGTAATTGGATGACTTGATTTTAGCAAGAGAATGAATTGGTTGATGATAGCCTGTAACTAAGTGTAGTGGTTCTGTTCAGATGAATACATAACATACAGTCATCAGATCTTGACAGGTATAACATAAGCAATGCAAAAATCTCTGGAGGCTGAGAGGTAAATTTTGTCAAAGAATTTTGAAGCTGATTCTTGAAAGAAATGGAAAGAAACGTGCATGCCATTAGATGATACCGGTTAAAACGTGGCATTTGTTACTGCTGTGCTGTATGCATATTTATCTGTCACTACTTTTGCATGTGAAGAAGAGAAGGTGAAGTCTGTGTGGTCTTGCTGCGATCAGGACCTGGCAGATAAGCAATTCCTGCTCTTCTTCAGGACGAAAACAGTGTTTCCACATCTCCTCCAGCCAGTTATCCTGTTTTCCCCATCTTAGTTATCCAGTACCACTTGAAAGCAAAGCGTGGAACCAGATGTCTCTGTGTTACTTCTTCAATGCATCTTTTTAAAAATATTTTTTTTTCCTCCTAGCATTACATTTGAACATGTATAAATAAGTGTCATTGCTAACTGGATTCTCCAAAGAGGTCTGCAGGTGCACATGACCTACCTACATGTCACTAAAGTGTTACGGGAATTGATGGCAACAGCTTTGTTTGCTTACAGCAAGGTTGATGTTTCTAGCTCTGTAGTTATTGTTCTATTACACCAAAGGAAGTGGAAGAGGTCCACCATTTAAGCTCAAATGCAAATCCATTGACATTTTCTGGGGGGTAATTTGAAAAAAGGTTCCTAGCTAGGATAATTGAGAAAAAGGGTTAGATTCCACTCAACTTCTTTTGAAAGGCTGACAAACCTCTGATGGTGGGACACACTGGACACCAGTGAGAAGTGATAACTAGTTCCATAAATAAGGAAATTACTGATTATTGATTTCTGGTTGACTTTCCTGTGTCGCTGTATGCTTACCTTTAATCAACTTCCTATTCTTATTCACATAGCCCGTACTTCCCAGAACTGTTTCCTCCCACCCCTTCCTGCCTACCCTGTCTCATCATAAATGTCTTGGAGAACAGGGTGGAGAACAGGAACTCATTTTGGGCTTCTTTTCTTTCCCTCAAAAGTTCCAGTTAGGATTCTTAGGTGTTGACAGAGATGCTTTTTTGGGAAGACTCTTGAGTAAGCCCTTTTTATGGACACTTTTTTTCCTGCCTATATGGTAAACTGATTCCTCTCTTTCTGGAAGAAATCCTTGGAGTTCCTGGAGGGCATAAAGGCAGTTGAACCAGATTAATAGTTGGTGCTTTCTGCTTTGGAAGCCAGACCACAGGGCTCAGCAACTGGTAACCAGGCAGGTGCAGGTATGCTCTAGAGGTTAGTGTGTAGACAAGTACCTAACCATGTAAAGATCCCTCCACATGTGCAGCAGTTGAATCCTCGCTGTGTCAATAAGAAGATGGACATGTTTTTGTTTGAGGTTCACCATATTTAAACACTGCTCATAATCAGAAATGCTAGCAGGTGACCGTATGTGTTCTGTTTTCTATTGACTATCCCATTTATTTTCTTTTCTTCCTCATCCAGATGCACCTTTAATATGGCTTCAGGGAAACTTTTCTCCCTCACCTTTCTACCAAACTTTTTGGACTCCTTTTCTCCCTTTCCCTATTATTTTTACTTGCTGATTCTGTTGTGATCAGTATCAGCTATGTCAGCGTCAGCATTTCTTATCAACATTTGTCTTTTATTTTCTATCTTCAGAGTGCAACGTGTCCATAAACTACTTTTAAAACTTTTTTTTTAAACTTTCTTTTAAAACTGCTTTTAAACCAAGGACTGGCTAAAACATTATTCTAATAATTTAACTTTGTTATTTTCTCTGTTTTGCTTTTCCAAAAGATCTCTTCTCTCCACAGAGCCTAATCCCTTAGATAACCACCAGTTCTTGCTTACTGATGTCCCTGGATTAGCCCACATTCAGTTCTGCAGGCTGGAGTTGGTTTCCCTACAATGCTCAGCGTGATTTGTGCTATTCTATTAGTACAGAGCAGGCTTGAGGCTGGGATAATGGATTGTCCAAGATTGATCCCACATGGTTATCGAGATGAAGTTATAACTAAGGCTCTTTCATCAGCGTAGTGTCTCCCTTCTCTTCTTTTCCTTCTTCCTTGAGTATCCTGTCATCTTCCTTCTGGCTGGGCGGTCAGTCAGCAGCTGATCTGTTTTAGGTTGATGACTGAAATCTGTGTTGATAAATCCTGAACAAAAGGTTCAGCATCTTCCTTATGAAGAAGTCTCTCTCAGTTTATGCCAAAATCTGGATGTTATTCCCGTTTGAGGGTCTTTTGTGTGTACAGGATTTTATACCTAAATGCTTTCTTATGGACTGCAACTATCTCAATGGGAAGATTTTGATTTCTCTTCTCCAAGTGTTCCTGATAATTTAAAAATATCTGCCATGATTAATTTAATTGACTTCCTGGTTATTTCAAAAGTAATTGTATGAGCAGCACGCCTCTTGATATATTACATCCTTTCCAAGTTAAGAAATGCAGTATTCTTCTAAATTCAACATTGAAAATTTAGGCCCACAATCCAGTGTTTTAATAGAACATGCAACTAGTGTCTGTTTCTTTCATGAGAAACTCCTCACTTAACCAAGCAACCCAATTAAACAATTTACCAGTTTACTACTTATTTTTATGTTCTTAATGTAGGGTCTCTATAGTCGTAGAGCTTTTCTCCTCACTTTTATAGTGTTGTTTTTTTTAAACCCTGTGGACACCAAATGCAGCAGGAAGATGTGAACAGCTTGAGAATATATTATTTAGATGGTGATGCACTCTTTTTTTTTTATTACAAGGAGGAAAGAACACTTTTTACTTTTTTTAGCTGACTAAATACTATCATCTGTTGAGAAGTATGGTCAGGTAGAAGAATTTTCTTTGATCTGTATGGTGACATCTTCCTACTTTTTTTTTTTTTTGAGTAATTTCCTTGTAAATTTAAACAGATCCGTAGAATGACGTTTTCATGTATTTGTGTATCCACACAGCCCATGTTCCATTGCTGACTTAGGTGCACAGATAAGGATTTACATAAGACAAAGGCTACAGCACCTCTTCTTTAATTGCCTGGCATTGGTATGGGTTAGCGTAGCAGGTTTTCATTTGACAGGGGCACATTCTCCCGTCACAGCCGGCATCAGGGCTGCATCTGTTGCGGAGGTGCTTTTCTTGTACCAGGGAGCTCACAGATGATCTTTGGAGAGAGAGAGCTGATGGAAGAGCAGGAAACTTTCTCTAACCGCTGTTCTAAAGACTTTTTATGTTTATGTGAAAATGATTTTGATGCTTGACTGCCAACAACGTTTCAAGCCTGTGTATCGTTTGTTTTGCTGTTAAAATCTTTATTGCTAAAACCACTGTTTTCAGTAATTTAGAAGGAAAAAATTAAGATGTGTGTGAGAACAAAGAATCTCAACTTTCTGTCAGTTGAAGAGTTCTTCATAGTCTACAATTTTTCTTATTTTATATTTAGTACAAGAAATGCCTTCTTCCCCTCCCCCATAAAAATCAGTTTATTTTCATTTTGGTAAAGTTTAAATAAAATTCTTATCATGGCTTATTTCTCAGGCATTTATTTAATGTTGCGGAATAGGCATGCAAATACACTGAAAAATTATCCAGGAACTAAGTAACAAAGTGTTAATATTTTTATTCTTTAAATATTTATTGATTTATTTTTTGTGATGCTGTTTATCTGATAATTTAAATCCTAGTTGAATTATGTTGCCAGATTGTCTTCAGAAGGGCATGAAGTCAGCACACATGCTTCAGTAATATCTGGTTGTTTTACCCTTATGTTTCCAGTTGGCAATTTGAAATTATGGCTTCAACTGCACTTTAAATATGTGATAATAGCATGTGTTTCTAATAAGGGCCAGCACCATTTTGTTCAGATAGTGTGAATGGTTGTCACTCATATATGACAAATGCACCTTCATCTGCTTCTTTGATGGCCCCCTAAAAACCATACCCTCAAATCAGGCCGATGAAATTAGCTGCTGTGTAAATTGTGTGTCTGAGTGGTTCATTATCTAATCACCGTCAGAACCACAGTGATAAAGTAGATTGAAACAGGGAAGAGGTCTGCCAGATGATTTCAGGCCTCCTTTTTTTTCTAAACCGCGTTTCCCTTGGAAACACTAAGAGTCGTTCAGAACTTCAGAATTCTTTGTGTAGAACTTCTTTTTTTCTTAATGCATAAAATTGGTCAGCCAGTGAGGGCTGCCAGGATGATTTGTAAGGTTTTCTTTCCACCACTTGTTTAGTCATTACTGTGTGTATTAAAATGTTCCACGATTTTGAACTTGGCTACAATGTTTGCTGCTGATAGATAAGATACAGTTAAATACAGTGGTACCAATTTTCAGGAAAGTGCTCTAATCTGTTCCTATTTAGAAAAAACTCTTAAAGATGGCTTAAGTGCTCTCCTGAAATGGCAAAACACTATGCTTTGCATGCATGTGTATAAATCTTTGGATTTTGGCATTGATACATAAATTAACAAACTACAGCAGTATGATATAAAATATTTTCAATAACAATTGCGTACAGGCAGTAGAACAGACCTGCTGACTTTAATTCTTCATGCTAAATTCTTGTGACTTGTAATAGTCTGTTTTAAAAATCTGTATTCTGTCTTCTTAGCTTAATATGTAACTTAAACTTTCTTTGGTTTAGGAGCATTTGAAGATGATGATATCACTCATGTTGAAGGAAGTGTAGATCCTGTTCGAGACATCGAAATAATACACGAAGAACTTCGACTTAAAGATGAGGAACTGATCATGCAGAGTATAGACAAGCTAGAAAAAGTAGCTGTGAGAGGCGGGGACAAGAAATTGAAACCTGAATATGTAAGTATAAATGTAGATCATTAAGTATTGTCTGCATTGAACTGAAATATTTGCATTGTTGGATTTTGCTCGTGATATCATGCATGCATAATACAAAACATCGCTACTATTTTTGTGTATTTTGAAGTAATTATTCTGAGCTTAAAAAAAAAATAGAATGGATTCTTTGCTGTGCTGAAAGTTTAAGATTTCAATTATAAAGCTAATTGTCATTTTTTAAATTTAACTGTAATTTTCTTGCTGACACAAGTTTATTATATGAGTTGCTAATACTTCATCAAATTTAGATTAGGGGTTTAGTTGTAATTCAAAGTCCAGGAGTGACTTCCAAATTATTCTTGCTGTTAAGTTCCAGTCTAATGTTAATACTGTGTTCCTAGTAACCTCAAAGTGAATATATTTTTCTAGATGCAGTTGCACTTTGTGTCTTTTAGTGCACCCTAAATGAAGGCTGCTAGTTGAAGTTAATTTTTGAATGTGGTTGGGGAAAGCTGTTAAATGAGCTCAAATATCATGGGGTAGCAGTGGTTGTTATTTGTAGATTAGAAATATATAATAGTCAACAACTTCAAAGGATGTTTTTAAAATTATTGTTTTACTGCCACTTGACTTTGAAGTCAGCTATGCTTTGCCAGTAGTCTAGTTATTAATTTTTCTTTATTCCTTTAGTCTTCTAAAGGTATTCCTGGTGGTATGTAAAGCATATTCTCTAATTATTGCAACATCATATCAATATGGAAACAGGCTATTTATGCCTATCAATTATGAAATAAAAAATATTGTTATATCCCATAGCTTTTTATATAGCAAGTAATAGGAAAAATATTGTCACGGCAGTGCTGGTATTTTAATTTATCAGCATTGAAGCACACTAAGTTTTTTTTTTTGGCCATAACTAGTGTTTGGCAGTGAGTAGGATGTGAAATTGAATATCCCTCCATGATGCAGTGTTTAAAAAGCACTTCCTTGGTGACTTCTCTTGGTGAAGAACTAGCCTTTGTCTGGATTTAGAAGTATTTTATTCCTCAGTTAGTCTAAGTGAGACTTATTTTGATGATTGGAAGGCTTTCACGTCAGGCAAGAGAGAATCAGTTGTCCACCAGAAACCCCCCGATCCTTCTCTGCAGAGCTAGCGTCTAGCAGATCAGTTCCCAGCCTGTATGAGTGCATGTGGTTGTTCTTCGCTTAGGTGTGGGACCCTGTACTTGCCTTTGAGTTTCAAGAGATTCCCTTCTGCCCATCTTCACAGCCTGTTGAGATCTTTCTGAATGGCAGTACAGCACTCTGGGGTATCAGGCACTCCTCCCACTTTTGTATCATCAGCAAATCAGATTATTCTACAACCAAGGGAGACAGTAAATTAAAAACAAACCTAGAAATGCAATCTAAATCAATTAGAACTTTAAAATCTCCATTATTAATTGGTCTCTTCTCAGCTTCAGTTTCTCATCCTTTTCTTTGCCTCTTCCTTCAATCTCCTAACCAGTACTTAATCTGTAGTTCAGCTGTCAAATGGATTTTGTCATCTTGTGTTTGTAATTTATGCTTCCTGTTATTCCTTGGGGGATTTTAGCCTTTCTTTATGAAGTCACACACAGAAAACACAAGGTTTTGAAGTTGCATTGCTCTGCCAGTTCTAACCTCGGTAACAGCTGTTACACTCGGCCAGTTTCAGCTGAGTTTGTCAACAATAGAGGTTTCAAAGGTATTAAATTCTTTTGTTTCATGGAAATGGGTGGCTTAACAGAAGGGAAAGGCACAAATAAATGCTTCCATGGAGACAAAGGCTCCAAGTAGGAACTCTGCTCTCTGCAGTCACCAGAGAATATGCCTAGGGAAGTGTAGGGCATCAGGTCCTGCTAATCTTGGACCTTCATGCTTGTCTTCCTTTGTGACTTGTATGTGTGAATTGTAAGGTGGGCAGTAGAACTTAGTGAAATGGACTTCTTTATGGTAAAGGTCTGTCAGAAGTCTGCCTAGTTACTTTTCACGGTAAATTAATCCTCAGGCCTGGTGCCTGCCAATAGCCTCATGTAGTTGTAAAATCATAACAGCAGTTGTGAGTTTTCCATCCACTGTATGGGTTTGCTTAGATGTTGAGTCATTGGGTAGTGAGCTGCTCCTCTGTAACCTTTTTTGTCTTTTCCTTTAACATTTTATGTCGCAGTGAAGGCCTGTGGTTGCATATGTATGATATACTAGAGAATTAGCTGTGCAGTTAATCACTTAGACACATGGTAAGAGAAACCATAAAGAATTGGGGGGGGGGGGAGGGAAGACAAACAGTTAAGGATTGCACCGCCATGCAATCTCAGAATTGGAACAGGCTGCCAGAGGAGTTGTGGAGTCCCCATCCACAGACATATTTAAGAGATGTGGATGTTGTGGTTAGGGATGTGATTTAGCGATGGGACTTGGCAGGTGAGGCTGATGGTTGGTCTTGATGTTCTTGATGGTTCTCTGTCAACCTGGATGATTTGCTGTTGAGAGTGTATTTTGGGCTTCCTCTTTCCAGGGCAGAAAAGTAATTGAGACAGAAGTATAAACTGTTAAGGATATATTTTTTTAAACAGGTTATCTTCATAAATTGGGAGGGAATGGAAAACTACTCAGGGTTTGCCTTTTCTTGCATTATTTGCCAGTGTAATGTTAGACATAGCTAATATTCTGCTCTTCCTGTAACAGAGGTGCTCAACAAACAGTACTTGTCTGTCTTCTGAGTGTTCACAGTCATTTTCCCTTTCAAGAAAACTGGGAGATTAAAAGGGGAAAAACTTTTTTAAGCACAGTGTTAAAATTTCAGTCTCTTTCGTAGTTTCCTTTTCTCATCCTTTATGGAGGAATTTAAGGTAAAGACACTTTAGAATTTCTTAAGCGTTTTAACTGGTTGAGAGTTGTGAAAGTTCTAGTGTTCATTCAAATAAATACTGAAAGCTTTCTTACCAATATCACTTTCAGACCTTTTACTTGCTTTCTTTCCCCTGCTGAACAAAAACATCTAGCACTTGAATTGCATTTTTCATTTCTTTCCACTTTTTTGAGAGCACTTTGAAATCTATTGAGGAAAAACTATATAAGATTAGGGAAAGAAGAAGGTGAGGAAAGAAAAGAAATAGTATTGATCTTAGTTGAGCGTGTTTTTCCTTTGGTTGTTTGCTGAATATAACAATAAGCTTAATATGAAAGCTAAGAAAAAGTTACTGATTTCAGAGGGACTATAATCTCTGTGTGACCTGTGTAAACTTATTGTTGGCATCAATGGGGATTTCACTTTGAGCTTCCTGGAACCTAATTGAAAGTGGAAGTCATTCTTTTTATTTCATAAATATGAATTGTCTGCTTTAGAGGAGAGGATTCTCTTCTTTATCAGTAAGCCTCCACAACTGTAACTTGATAGTCTGAAATCTCCAAAAGGCGTAGAGGGGAAAAAAAAAATCGTCAATCTGTATCAGCCAGCAATTCTTGAATCTGAGATTTTTATTCGATTGTCTGTCTTCACACCTGTGCTCTAACTTGTTAATTATCATTTTTTCTTCGTGTAAGCCCACATTGCATACAGTTGGTAAGTTCACCTTTGTGCAGTGACCTGGCTTTGCAGTTGAATATAGTGTTAACTGTTCGTGCTGTCTCTCACAGAATTGATTTCTCAATCCCCTGTCAGCAGAAATAAAATAGCCAACTGCTGTTAAGGAGCCATCAATGAAATCATTTTCAAGTTCTACTTAAAAATCAATGACACGATATGGTCCAAGATCAGCAACATGCACTGTTGACATAGACACGGAATAGCTTCCTTCACATTCATTTTTGTGTTTTGCAAGTGTTCTTCTCACAGGTTTCTTAGAACTGATTGTCTGCTTTTCACTAAGGGTACTATTCTTTCAGACTCAGTACACCTTCGTATGTTATTTTGACTATAACCTTCTAAATGAGATATTATAGAACAGAAATATCCCCAATATCAGCATGTACTAAAATGGTATGAGAATCACTTCAGAAATTAGAGTAATTTTGATTTTATATTTTAAATCTGCTTGGTGCTGGTATCTGCAGAGACATGAGAAAGAAGTTGAGTTAAACTTCTTTATTATTAGCTTATTCATCTGTAATTTTGGGTAGCAGGAGATTTCAAAGTAAAATTCAAGTACGTAAATTTATAGATCTTGTTTTAAATATATATATATGTACGTGTGTATATATATATATTTGATTTATGGGATTTTCAGTCCTGGAAGCGGAGGTCTTCAAGTTAATACAATATAATACAGTTAAGTGAACATTATTACAGGATTCTCTTCCATTACCCTTCCCGCGTGATTCAATTCTAGTCCTTAGAGATTGACCCCCTGCAATTGATAGCTATTCATTCAATCCTTTGTTAGTGCTCCAAATCTTGAATTCCAGTACAGAATAATTTTTAGTGGTAATGGTATTGCGATTTATATATCTGACCACAAGAATATTATTTATAGTAGAGTTCATACAGATTGTTGACTTCGGTGATATGAAGACAAAATCTTTAGGTCAGGATCAATGTCTGCAGTATTTGAGCTTCCAATTTTCAGCTGAAAGGCAGCTTTTACAATAGGTCAGTATCAACGTCCACTGCATTTGAACTTCCAGTTTCCAGTTCAAAGGATGCTTTTGTAAGTTCTGTAAGACATCTAAATTCCGTTGTCAAAGTCTGTCAACTCAAAAATAAGGTTAGCTTTTGAAATTAAACACTTTTTAAGAGCAAAAGTGCGATTATGAAAAGAATTCAAGATGCCTTTTAATGTCATTGTATTATAACCATCTAGTGCAGAGGAAACAAATCAAGCTTTGCTTTGTTATTGCAGTGGATGATAAATTAGTAATTGATACAATGACCAAAACCCCAGAACATAAACACCTGTCATTAGATATCTTGCGTCTATGTAATCTATGGTTCTTCCTTCCTCCTCCCTTCCATTTAATGTATTGGTCCTGTCCTGATAATACAGTAACTGTTCGAAAGTCAT